GGGTGGTAGCGGTGGTGGTGGTGGTGGTGTTGGTGGTGGTAGCGGGGGCGTGGGTGGTGGTGTCGGCTCTCCTAAAGGTTGAGGACCAAGTAGCTGTACTAGAGTTTCACTCCGAAGGCGTCCCACAGGAAGAGGTTTCACACGAGGAGGGTGGCGCAGTGTTGACAATGCCATTGCAAACACAACTTACAAAACTTCAGGCTCCTACATACCGGCTGTTGAAACAGGAAGAGTTCTCAAAACTATAAGCTCCTCCTACAAACTGCAAAGTGTGTAGTTTAGGGTTTAGGGTTTATGCGCAGGTGTTTGAGCCGAACTTGCAGGCAAGTGGAAGTCTGCCGCTCATGATGCCGATGACGATGCGGGAGCACACCCTTTGCACCTGCGCGGTACTCGTGGCGTTTATGGTTTCGGATTTGAGTATCATCTCTATGCGATTATGTACCCCCCCCTGGGTTATGTGTATACATGCCTTTCTGTGCATATGCATGTTGCTGTATCATATAACAATGTGGAATACAACTTAACAGTGTGATGTATGTTCATATTGCATGTATGTATATGCTGATTGTATTATCATAAGGTAGACGGAAACTGAATATGACGATATGATCACTATTTCATATATACGATATGTACACGATCACTTGATTTTGATTAGCTGCAGGCCCAGCCCGTTCCATTTATGTTAGCATACCCATATGATTCATGTTAGCAATCTATTTATCTGCATCTTTATCTTTCGTATGTTTCAGTTTTCGCGCATACTGTCATAAAATGACAATATAAGAAAATCAAATACGATGATTTATTCTCTGTAGCATACGAATATACCATATGTTTAGCTATATCATCTTATTTAGTTTCTCTCACATTATCACAATATGATAATGTAAGATGAAACTAAATACGATGTTTACAATATGTTTAGCTATATCATCTTATTTAGTTTCTCTCACATTATCACAACATGATAATGTGAGAGGAAATAAACACGATGTGATATGGGTCGATGTAGTGACTGCCTCCATAGCGTGCAGACGTAGGAACTCTTTTCCATCGCATCCTCGTGTCCGCACACACATTCGTCAGAGCGAATGTGCCGCGCAGATGTCGCTAAGATATCTGCCCCCGACATGCTCGCAAGGACAGGACAGGAGCTGGAAGTACAAGATCACTTGATTTTGATTAGCTGCAGCTTGGGTCATTACACATCTGTTGCCATGCGATCAAACTGTCAAGCACAGCAATCCGCTCGCAAATCTTCACTGCAGGACTGGCCATGTGGCACATAAAAGAGCAAGCCGATATATTTAGTGAATATTTATATGGTTTCCAGCGACCTGGCTGCATTAAAGTTTGCATTAAAAATTAAATTTTAATGCACCCAGGCCCGTGGAACCAAGAACCAAGAACCAAGATTCCCAGGAGTCTTGAATCCTGAATCTTGGTTCCACGGGCATCGGCCGGGTTGCATTAAAATTTGCATTAAAAAATTAAATTTTAATGCACCCAGGCCCGTGGAACCAAGAACCAAGATTCCCAGGAGTCTTGAATCCTGAATCTTGGTTCCACGGGCCTGGGTGCATTAAAATTTAATTTTTAATGCAGATTTAATGCAGCCCGACAAGTGCCCACGGAACCAAGATCCAAGAATCAAGACTCCTGGACATCTTGGTTCTTGGTTCCACGGGCCAGGGTGCATTAAAATTTAATTTTTAAATGCAGGTTTTAATGCAGCCCGGCCGGTGCCCGTGGAACCAAGATTCAGGATTCAAGACTCCTGGGAATCTTGGTTCTTGGTTCTTGGTTCCACGGGCCGGGTTGCATTAAAATTTAATTTTTAAATGCAGGTTTTAATGCAGCCCGGCCGGTGCCTGTGGAACCAAGATTCAGGATTCAAGACTCCTGGGAATCTTGGTTCTTGGTTCTTGGTTCCACGGGCCGGGTTGCATTAAAATTTAATTTTTTAATGCAGGTTTTAATGCAGCCGGGCCTCTGGTATAGTCATGTTCGTATGCACGATTATTCAGAGACCTATTCCATGTTGCATGTGTCTGCGTGTGTGTGTGTGTGTGTGTGTGTATGTGTGTGTGCATGGGTAAAGAAGTGTGGTATCATATATGTAGACAGACGGGTTTGGAGGTAGGTCCTGGGGGGGGGGTACCATATATATATATATATATAGATAGATAGAGAGATAGATAGATAGATAGATAGATAGATAGATAGATATACATATATATGCACATATACATATGTAAATATTCGAAGCTTCGGGCCTCGTTCAGGGTTTAGGAAGTGTTGTTTTTTGGGTGTGTGTGTTTTGTGTCCGATTCCTGTGTTTTTCTCAAGGAAAACACTGTTCCTTGCATTTGGTATGGATTTCAGGCCATTTCCATGGTTTTCATAGGGAAAGCGTATGTTACATCGTTTTTCTTGGGGTTTCTTGATGTTGTACGAAGCCAGTTGAGTCGCCACGGCAAGAAACCCAACAATCGCAACAAAGAGCACAACAGCAGTGTTAAGATGACCACAAGGCGGCAACAACAAGTATCATCGCCCATCATCGCCGTATTCGTCGTGATTTCTCACCACGAAGTCACCCTAAAGCCTATGTACATAGGGAGCAAAACTCCAAGATCCCACTTAGACCCTTGTACAACCCCCCTTAACCCTAGACCCCGACATCCCAAATTCCCTTAACCCGACACCCTAAACTCTAAACCCCTAAACCGAACCCTAAAACACCAACCCTCAATCCGAAACCCTAGGCCCCGAAACCCTACACCCCTAAACCCCTAAACCCCTAAACCCGAACCCGACCTAAAATTCGTAAACCCGAACCCTACACCCCTAAACCCCTAAACCCTCAGCCCCGAAACCCTAAGCCACCAGGCGGCGGGAACTTTGGAAGCAGGAGGCCCAAGCCCGGGAGCTTTAAACAGGGGCCAACCCCAGGAGTTCTGAATGAACGCGCGGGGACGAAACATGGGAGTTTCCGAAAATAGGGGACCCTAATATAGTACCCTAAATAGTAGGATCCTTGTTATATGGACCCCGAAATAAGGTACCCTCATGTTTGGAAACTCCCACATTGCTCTAGGGGCCATGTGAATGCCTGGAGTTGGGGACTTCTCATCTTGGTAAATTACAGTTGCTAGACCCGTGCTGCAGCCCCACCTGAACTCTCAAATTGCATTTGTGTTGCTACATTGCGCGAACATCGGAGACTGCCCGCAACTCCGCCCAGAAACTGATTCTGAACGTTCTCTGTGCGCCCTTTCGACATTTCTCCAAGATAGCACAGTTAGGCTTCAGGGTTTTTGGACAAGGTGTCATAATACGTAAATGGCTGGCAGGATCCTCATTGTAAGTATCGCATCCTTAACTTGTTGCTTGAGACCAGGGAGAGAGTGTTGGAGCGCGCGCATCCCGGCTGGGGGGGCTGACGTTTTGCCCATTTCCTAGTAGTTCTATATCTTATAGGCCTGAAGATCTACGATAAGCCCTAGATCCCAAGTCACAGACCTTACATACAAAAACTCTGTAATCCTAAACTCTACAAGCCCGAAATCCACAAACAAACCTTGAGTCCGAAAGCTTAAACCCGGAGCCGTTCTTCGCAAGGCAGAAGCCAAACGCCGCCACGCGTTTGGACCCCGAAGGCAACATGGAGATGTTATAGGCTTTCGGATGCTGAGCCTGTGAGCTGTCCTGGGCTTGCGAGTTTAGGAGCTCTGGGGGTTGGCTGCACGGTGTTCTTGATTTTTGACTTTAGTGCTGTCGGTCAAGCCATTGCTAAAGAGGGTGCTCCCTACTACGGTTCTCGTGCTTTTTGGTTGGTTCAGCGAAGGTTGGGCTAAGATCGGACTACACGATCTAAATGAAAACGTGGGAATCAGAGTAGGTGGACACCAGGTTTCGGGTTCGTGGGTTTTGGGAGTTCCGTGGGTTTGTGGATTCTTTTCTGCAGCATCCTCCGGCCGCCCAATACCTGAAGGCTAAGCAAACTACAATGGCAACGCTTGAGGCGAGTTGTCTTCAGCAGCAGACCCTGCAGTCTTGTGTTGGAAACCATGGCAGGCGTGAGTTCGTCCACGAGGCCGCTATGGCTCACCGAGGTGCGGTGCGAAATGTGAGAGCCTTGGTCGTGCAGGACGGAAGTAGAGAGGCTTGGGTCCACAGGGTGCAGGAGATCTCGAGAAAATGAGTTCCACACAGAGTTCAATGAGGACAAGGGAAATGATTCGTTGGTTGTCCGATTAGCAACCCAATCGATTGCCGTGGCAGTAGCATGTAGTCTAGGCAGAGCAGTTGTGCTTGTGTTGATGCGATTCTGCACTCTCCGAACTAGTTCCACAATTGGCACCAGCAACGGAATAACTAGCAGTACTGCGCTAGATTGGCAACAACAGGCAATAGTAGTGGTACATGCAGTGATTGGAGTAGTGAACAATCATCGTACGAATATCAGCAGCAGCAACAGCAGAAGCATCAGCAGGACAAGGAGGTGGAAGAGGAGGAGGAGCAAAGGCAGCGGTAGTGGTGGTTTTAGCAGTAGTAGTCGTCGTCGCAGTAGTTGTTGTTACTGGCATTGACGTTAGCACTGGTGCTGTCTCTACTGCAAGTGTGAGTGTGAGTGTAATCAGTGTTGTTCTTAGCATGATTCTTAGTTTGTGTGCATGTGTGTATGTGTCTGTCTGTCTGTGTGTGGTTGTGTGCCATTTTCGGTGTGAATTTTATCGTTGCCGCAAGGTGAGGGCGGTCATAACAGCAGTAGGCGTGGTAATCGTAGTAGCTGCCTTCGCCGAATCGCAGTTTTTTACCTGAGCAGGTAGATTCGCGCTACAGCTCGCGAGCAACTTCATGATTTCAGCAGTTCCATCTTTGTCATGCAAATTGAACAGCCTTCAGCTAAAACTCGAGACCCTCAACCCCTTCTACCCTGGCACACGAAGCGCTAACCTTTCAGGTCTGCTTCGCCACGGAAGACGCACATGACTTTTCTTGCTTGCTGTCCTGTGGCGTCGATGGCAAGGCCGGGAAGTCAGTTCGTGGGTTCTCTATCTTGAGTTGAGTTTTGAGCATCTGTTAGTTTCGTTGTCGTTGTCACTTCCAGTCTCCCTTCGACTCCCGGATCTTGCACTCACTATATTCACATACATGTGCATGTACATACGTATATATATATATATATGCACTTGTTTAATGTATAGGGGCATGTTGGATACTAAGAGTGCTAGCCCTGGAAACTATGCGCTCCCGCCCCGTCCCTCCGCGCCCCCTCCTCCCGGGTCCATAGCTCCGCTCCCCGTCCTTAACATCGAAGCCCGTGCGAGCCCCCGACCAGAAGCAAGAACTGTACAAACACATGCTGAGCCGTAGATATTCGCCTAATTATTTACTAGCGCAACAAACGCACACATGTGCACTTGGTTTCTTGGTGTTCCAAGCAAAATCGCTGCCGCACATGTAAGAAATATTTGTGGGCCCGCATCGCCCATGACAATAGCATCCACTTCGACCACATCAATGGCCAGTGAATCCGCTTGCCCAAGATACTAGTGGCTTTGACGATCACGTCGGCACGCAGGTAAAGGCTTACAGGCTGGCACCGGTACGACATTCACCTGATGGGCAAAGGATGGCACAGGTATGCGTAATGCGATCCCCCAAACACTAGGCCAGAACAGGCGTAATGGTATCGTGCTTCAATAGGAGCTTCTGACTTGAGCGGCTGGAAAACAGATGTCAACCGTGCTTCTCAAGGTGCTTCTGATTTGAGCCGTGGGAAAACAGGCCTCAACAACCCTAAACCCTGACCTTAAAACCCTAAACCCTTAAACCCGAATCCCCCACAGCCCCAACAACCCTGAATCACAGCTCCGTGTCCAGGTCCGCTGCTGGGATCCTGGAACCGGAGCCCCAAAGAAAGCCAAGGCCTGGCGGAGATGCAGCGGGGCCGGGGGGGGGGTCACTGGCTTCCCCGAGACACCAAAACCTCTTTTAAAAAGGAATATACCGTAGACCATAGTAGGGTTCCTATTCTAATTTAGGGTTTTTGATTCCTCGGCTAAGTGGTGTTGGGGCGGAGACGCCAAACTCTCTTTTATCAAGGAATCTACCTTAGGCCCTAGGCCATAGATTTGAGGTATATTGTTCCTTAGCTAAGTGGTTTTGGAGTTTCACTGGCTTTGGGCCCGCGGGTGTCGGGTTTCGGGTTTAGGTAGGGTGCATGGCTTGCTGTTTAGTTGATAGTGTAGCCTAGACGTCTCCGTTGGCTTTACATCTAAATCTTGGGATCGGGGTATTTCGGGCATAGGTTGGGTTTCAGATATGCTTCTAGGTCCCAGACAGACAAGGGTAGGAATTTTGGCTTTGTAACTGCTTCTTTCGAATCCGTCGTAGTCTACGAGGCTCCACCCGAAATCCAGAGTTCCTGAACCCTAACCTGACACCCTAAATGCCAAACCTTAAATCCTACACCCGAAGCTCAACACCCCTGAACCCTAAACTTTAGAATCCAGAGCCCTAGCTCCAAAACCCTGCCCCTGCCAGGCCGAGCCACCACACACCAAGCGGAAGATTGAAGCGAACGGTTTGCTGCTGCCCCTGGCGAAGCGCGAGGAGGCCATTCGGGTTAGTGGCAAGACGAAGAGTTTAAAGCTAGCAGCAACAGCAGCAAGAAAAAAACTAGCATGCAAGAGTAGTCGTCGTTGTTTTCGTGGCAGTGGTCGTTGTCGCAGCGTCGGCGCAGGAGGAGGAGGAGGAGGAGGAGGAGGAGGAGAAGCATCAGTAGCAATAGCAGGACGGTGTTTTGGTGCCATAGCAAAGAGGACACTTGCAGCACCTCTGCGGAACTTTTGGCCGACTGCTGCAGCATATTAACTTGGCTATGACATCGTTCGTCGCAGCACGACTAGCATCATCTTGATCATCAGCAGCACCCTCACCAGGCAGCACCGCTTTCATGATGGTCATGATCGTGGCAACGCCACCGTCATCAGCATCAGGAACCACCATCCCACAGAATCACAGCCATCATGGCCGCCGTCGTCAGCGTTCTCGGCAGTCTCAGTGTCAGCGTCGTCGTCATTGTCGTCCCCGCCATCATCTGCACCATCATGGCCCTGTCGTCTTTTCACCATCCATCGCGGCCATCGCAAAACCGTCATCATCATCAGCAACAGAAACAACATCATCATCATCATGGTCACCATCGTCGCCAGCATCGCCAAACGACGATCATCATGATGGCTTTTGATCATCATCACCATTGCAGCATCATCGTCAGCAAGAGTAAGCTTCATGGAGATCATTAGTGTCTTGTCCCCTGCGGTGGAGACACCGTGCGGAACCAAGGGGCTTACATCCTCCGTAGTCAAAGGCGACATGGCAGCCGGAGATCAACGTGGACTGCAGCACGGAGGACCTCTCGGGCCCTGGATCGTAGGAAAAGAAATTAATAGAGTATCGCAGGAAAGACCAGCAATGCCTCGATAGGGACCTCAGCCTCAGCCACAATGACAAGTGTATCGATACACTGAAAGGCATGCACGACCACTGATCACGCAAGCATCAAAGATTCCAACTTTCTCAAAGCCTTAGAGCCCCTGAACACTTGACCTTCCAGGAGCAGGGGCTGCACTTGGCCGCTTTAGGCCGACAAAGCCTCTGCCTGGTGCCCGAAGAGGCTTCATGCTTGACCGGGTTGTGGTTTTAGATTGTAGGGTTTGGGGTTCAAAGTTTAGGGTCTACGAGCTCGAAGGTTGCTTTCAGGCTCGTAAACGGCTTGGTAGGTGTGGCACGGACGGCCTTATGGCTTCGTTTGGAGGCTTCCAGGTTCGAGGACCCGTGGAAGCTTGGAGGATTCGGTGCATGAGGTTGTTCAGTTGTCGGCGGAGCTCCGGAGGCCTTCAGTACTTTATCCTGCAAAGCTCGAAACAAAAAGACCCTCAACTTGAAACCTAGCATCTTCTAACTCCCGAAACCGAAAGTGCTGAATGGCCATCGAGCTAAAACAGCGTTCCAAATCCCTCCATTCCCACACCCGTACCCTAAACTACACTTTCATACGAAAGCTTGAAGAATGTAGGGCTGTCGCTGAGCACCAAATATGGAAACCGCACACCCGACTCACTCGAAGTACTTTTCAGGACATTTCCTTGGTTCTTGTGGGTAGATGCCCGCACTGTAGAGCTTTCGTGTTTGGTATTCCAGTTGTTGCTAGTAGCAGTGATCACAGTGCTCGTAGTGGTCATTGGGAAAATCTCAGCTCACTATTTCCACACTGCACGTGCTCAAGGAGCTAATCGCTGTTTACTGCGCCCGTTCTGGACGCTGTCTGTGCCGGCTTGCAGCACATCGTGGCAGTGTCACAGGCCTCTGTAAGAGACACTGGCCTGCTACCGTTGCTGCTTTGGCTGTCAGTTGAAAGCTGCCAGCTACCGGTGCTTGTTCTCATGTTGCATTTGCAAAGTGTTGGTGAGGTTGCAGCTAGGAATTTGGCTTCCGAGCTTTCATGCTCACTGATTCGGTCTTCAAATGTACCGCGCTCTCGTTCAAAAGCCAAACCACTGCGCCAGGCCTGGAAGCATTGCATCCAAACCGCGAGGAGGTGCTGTCTGCAGGCGAAGAGCCTGGGCTTTGGCCTTCTTTGTCTGAGTGTCTCTCTCTCTCTCTCTCTCTCGCTCCCGGCCTCTCTGACTCGACCCTCGTTGGTCTAAAGATCTACTTAGTTCTGCATCGAAGAGAAATGCATGCATGCATAGTGGTTTCCGGAAGGTTCATGATTACTCATGTCCGTGCAATGTGCACGCGGAGTGAAGGAAAAACACATCCACAAGAACATTCTTCGCAAGACGGCCATTCTGCCGTGGGTTACAGGACATGATTCGTTGTCCGGTGCCAGATGAGTTTACCCAGGAAAGCCTGCACCAGATGCTTCCGCAGTCCGGAAGGAACGACTACGTCTACTACTTACCCCTACTGCTGATATTCCTGCTGCTTCTGCTGCTTTGGTGCGGCCAGCACAAGTACCAAGAGAAGGAGCAACAACAGAAACAATGCGAACCTCTGCTAGCAGCAGCAGGAGCCGTGGTAATCATCGCAGCAGTAATAGTAAGCACCAGCAGCGAAAGCATATAGGTGGTTTTCAATATTATGGACCCTTTTGGGGTACCCTAAATAATAGGTGCCGCATTATAAGAAGGACCCTAAAAGGGACCCAAATTTTGACAACCACCCATATGTAGGCATGACACGAGCTCTCACAGGCAAGGATGGCTTGCTGTTGTGTTGGCGCACTGGCCGTCCGGAACAAGGCCTTGCTTTTGCCGTCCAGTCTTGCACCGGGCTCGCTGTCTTTGTGATAGCCTAGGGCGCACGACCAGCAAAATCTGTATCTTGAAGGGCGCGGTTTTGTCAGTTTCTGTGCACAGATGCTTGCAAGGTGAGGTCATTGCCGTGGATGATTAGAAGAGTCCCGAATGGGCTCTGTGTCTCGACACAGCTGTGCGACCGGATTGGTCACGTGCAGAGATTCCGAGTTTCACCAGCGCGCGCGGTCGTCCCTCCGATGTCGCGCTCGGACAGCGGCACGGCTTCGTGAGCTGGCTCCTGACGATGTACAGTGGAGCCGATGAAGTGTGCAAGAAAACAAACAGTAGAGCAGAGTTTCCGTGGCTGAATGTTCATTTATTGACAGTAGGACAGTGCTCGAGACCTTGTCGTTTGCCGCAGATTGCCGTGCTTTGAACTTCCGTGGGCCTGGATCTCGAAGGAGCCATTAGGCGAGAATGCCAGAATCACCCTCATGTTCCTAGCGCTCAGTCTACAAATTGCACCTCAGTGTTGTCGGCACGACATCATACAGAACTGCACGTGGAGACGGGAAGGTTCACGTCATCATGTAGTTGGCGCACTGTACCTATTATAAAATATTCAGATTAGACTACTTGCAAGAATTGGCGCGGGATGTGCAGGCCATGGCTGTCCCTTGCAAGACTTTTCACTTCTCATGGGGTAGTGACCGCAGATCTTTGAAGATCTACAGCGGCACACCTGTGGAAGACATAATCCATGCAGTGCGGTGCGAGTACAATCTGCCCGCCGAGGACTGCCTACACTTTCAGGATGCCGGTGGTGTTCGCACCGTCTTGTCTCATGCCTGCCCGGACGGAATGGGGTTTGTAGTTCGTTCGGGCACCGGCACTGCCTTTCCACGGCCTGCGACAGCGACGGCGCCTCCGAGGCCGGAGGAAATTTGTGCTGTATATTGAGTCGAGGCTGTTTGTAGGGATAGCTGGAAGTTGAGCACAGCAGGCCTGCAGAGCCTCAGACAGCAAATGCCGACGGCCGGAACCTGCAGCTAACCCCAAACCCAGCACCGTGGTTGCAGGAAGAGTATCAGTCAGTCTTGAACTTCAGATTGGCAGCTTACTTTTGGGAGCACTGAGGCACCACGAGGTCATCCACCGCACGAAGGGCAGCTAGATGCCGGACATACCATTATCAAGCGCGACTTCTTCTTGTACAAGAACCATACTTGTGTCGATGGTGATTTGGAGCCAGATGTTCATGCATTGATGTTTAGCTTCAAGAAGTTTTGGAAGGCTGCACTCGAGGAGCAGATGGCAATGAAGGGGCAGCTCCTTAAAGAGCTCTGCGGTCAAATCGGCTTCTGTCATGGGGATTGGCTGCTACACGATTTCGAAAGTGGGGCCGTGTGGCTTGCAGTTCGGGAGTCTGATGCATTAGCTCCATCTTGCAAGGCCTTCGGCTTCAAGTTCGGAGATGCAGTGCAAGACAAGAAGGGGAAAGAGTACACAGTTCTTGGTGTCGGACCACCGGCCGCAGGTCGCCACTGGCACAGATCAAACCGGATTCGTTTGTGTGCCCATGAATTCGGCAGCAGTGAAGCACAAACACTCAGAGTCGATTGCGACGTTGATTTCGTGAGACGGGGTCCAGAACCAGTAGAGTTTGGGACCCTCGGAGCTTGTATCGCCTTTCTGCAGCCCAGCACCTCCGATGTGCAAGCCATGCTGGGTTGGGACGGGGCAGCTCTCAGTGATGAAGGCATACCAACTGCGGGCATCAACCGGCTTCTAGGGCTGCTAGGCTCGAGTGGATGGCACGTGTTGGAGAAGCACTTCGGCTCAATCGACACGAACACGGAAGATGGCATGCGGCGATGTGAGCACATGGGCATCAAGAAGGGTGATCGCATTAGGGGCTTAGCAGCTGGTTGGCCGTTTGATCGCTTGGGTGTGGTCACCACTGTCAATGCGGGTGTCTTTCAAATCCTTTCAGAGTCATCGCAGCAGGATGTGTTCACTTGGCATGCCAAGTTCGAAGAGATGCGCAAGGATCCAGAGGCTGATCTTGTGAGGCCGGGTGCCTTGGTGAAGCTTCGTCAAGCGGTGCAGCAACCCAGATATGGATGGGGCGGTCTCACCCATGAACTAGTTCTTGGGGTCGTCCAGAAGGTGGAAAAGTGCATCGTATCCGTGAACCTGGGCTTCGGCAGCCGATGGCATGGCTCGTTGGATGAGTTTGAGGCGATCAAACCTTCGGACAGCTTGCAAGTGGGCTCCCACGTTCGCTTCAAAAGCCCAGGCAAGGTTCCTAGATATGGATGGGGAGGGCACAAGATGCGTGCAGCGATCGGTGTGGTCGCTAAGATTGAGGATGAGGATATAAAGGTGAACTGTCCTGACATGGACGAGTGGAAGTCCCAGACTGAGTTCGGAAATCATGTTTGTTCTGGTGAGATTTTTCTGGCTGACTCCAGATGGACCTCAGCATGTAAGTTGATTTAAAATAAACCTTTACGAACTGAGGTGCAAATGTGATGAGATTGAAGTGGATCCAGTTGCAAATCGGATCCGACCAGGAGAACCGGTGCAAGTGCGACCACAGGTATCGGTCCCCAAGTTTGACTGGGGCGGTGTCAATCATTCCTCAGTTGGGGTTGTGGAGTCCATCACCCATGACGGCATTGTAGTTGTGGACTTTCCATGCTGTTGCTGCTGGCATGGTCTTCTTGGAGAGCTTGAGATCGCACAGACCAGACAGCGGGTGGCCCTCATTATCGGAAACCACACTTATATAGATAAAGAGGCATATCCCTTCCTGAAAGGCGCCAAGAACGATGTCGAGGACATCAAAAACAAGCTGATGTCGCTCGAGTTCGACTTCGTGCTGAAAGTGGAGAATATTTGCCGACGTGACTTGGAGGTGTTCCTTCGACAACTAAAGGACAACGTTGTGAACGGAAGCATCGTTGTCATCTACTTTGCAGGTCATGGGGAAGAAGACCATCAGACTGTATTGCTGGTTGCGCCAGACAGTACGAAAATCGACACAGACTTCATCTTCAATGCCATCACCGGCTGGTCTTCGAAGGATTTGTTTGTTTTGTTCATTCTAGACTGCTGTCGTTTGAAATCAGATGACTCTTCTTCCTCTTCCTCAAGCAGATTCACGATTCGGGCACCTCCCGAGAAAGAGATGGCTTGCAACCAACTCTATTGCGTCTTTTCGTGTCAGAAGTTCAAGTCGGCTTACGAAAAAAGGCATGGAGACTTTGGCAAGTGTTTCTTGGAACTGGTTGGTGAAGATCTATCTGTGCATGAGCTCTTCGACAGGGTGGCTGACAGACTTCGCAAGCCAAACCGACAGCAACCCGAAATCCTGTCGCGGTCGCACGAAGGCTCGCGGATAAGGCTTTCGTCGGACAAAAACATCTACCGGGCATCTTCCCTCCATGCACAGGCAGGCTCGTCAGATGGCTCTGATGAGTCAGACGACTGCATGGACGAATTGGAGCGATTGAAGGAGCTAGTCCAAAATGTCAAAACAGGCGATGAACGTGCAAGGAGGGACATGGTTACCATGGTTGACTACTTGCACGATGTTCGGGAGATTCTTAGGCCCAGGTTGACTAGTGCGCTCCTAGGTGCAGCACTTGAAGGGCACGATCCAGCCCTTTACGAAGAGGACCTTAAACCACGTGAGGTGCGGAGGTTCAGGTTCGTTTTTGACATCGTCGATGATGAATCTGCGCATGCTTCATCGTCTCGGCAGCCTCGAGGTGTCGTCCAACCATGCGGTGATTTGCGAAGCATGCCAGACTGTGTCTCGAGGTTGGCCAACTTATTGTGGACTCGTTCCTTCGGAAGGCCAGAACACGAGAAGGTCGAGCTCATCCTAAGGGACATGGACATTGACGATAAGCTGAGCTCAAGATTTGCTCAAGCGAAGCCGCCGACAGCATTGCCAATTATTGGATGTTGCCCCACTTCAACGTGGACACGGCTTCAGAAGTAGCAACGACTCTGTCGTGAGTTGGAATTTGCCTTCATCCTAGAGCTTGCCGAGGAGGTTTGGCGGGATACAGTTTCGGCATCTAGTGAAAGCTTAATGTCGCTGTTGGTTGACTATCGAAGCACCAATGGCACCGTGCAATGGTGATAATTCAAACAGTTTTGCGCCTGAGCTTACAAGAGCAAGAAGGCTTTTCTCGAATTCACACTAACTCCGGACCACGAGGGCTTTACGGTCCGCAGACAAGACAATTCCGGAATGTGTGCATGGGATGGCGGCTTTGATGATGGATCCTTTCTCGGACTGTCGCGGCCAACAGCTCGAAGGCTGGCTTTCTCAAATGCTTTCCGTGATCTTTGTCCATAGCGAATGGGTTTGGGCTAAACATGGAACTTAGTCCTGCAGGGGCGCTTCATGCCAGTTTATCTTGCAATGCCTGAGCAGGTCATGCAGGTGGCCCTCAGCGTCGGTCGAGTTGCAGACCTTTTGCTATTCTTGGCGTCCAAACGCCAGCAGTTCAGCTGGGGACGACCAGAAGCGGCTGCATGGACCAGGACTGCCCAGCGCCTCGTTGTTTTGAAAGTAGCGACGTACTTTAGCTACCCATGAACAAGCCTGCATTTATTTAAAGAAGTTGGCGCACTTCGTTTGGTCTATGCACATCGTAAGAAACGGCTCATGCTGGCAGGACTTTTCATGCAAAGCTTGGACCAGAAATGATATTCATTCGGTCTCACTCATGTCACACATGGACTGGTTCACTATCTATTTCAACATGTCGGCTCGGCAGAGACCGCCCTGCTGTTAGAAGTTTCTGTTAGTGCCTGCAATCGGCAACTACAAGGGGGAGATTTGGGACCGCTGTAAAATAAACCATAGATCTCATGATCGAATATCATTTATATATGAGCGACGGCTTTTATTTGCGTTTCAACTACAGTACTTTGAAACGAGATACCTCCGTG